GTCTAAGCTCTCGAAATTTCTTCTAATGAGTTACATAAGTGGTCCAATCTTGTAGAAATTGTTATATCCTTTATAGGCATCGACAGGCGTTGTCGGTCAAATAATGCTGGGCCGACGGTTTTTTAAACATATCTTCTTGTGTCGCTGTTTTGGTTCCAATAGCACTCTCCATTAGCAAGATGGTCCACAACTTCAACATTCCTCAATGAAGCCGTAGATCCATTCTAAATTGGCTGCCTTCGATGGCCTAAGGCACCTCACGGTTCTATGAGTACTCTTCGCCGTCCTCATCATCATCATCATCATCATCACCATCATCATATTTGTCCTATCCTCGTGTTCATTTTCTTCAGACTACCGGGTGGAAACTACGCTAGATTCCTCACTGTAGTTACCGTCTTCAGCTCCTTCTTGTTTACCTGCGATGAAAAGTTAGCAGTGAAGCCCAATTCTTCTACTTCTCACTCAATCAGTCGGATAAATTCCACTTCCTCGACCAGCAACTGGTTCTCTTCTGTTTCTTGATCGCTACGATCATTCTTAGTTGTCGTGTGGACTGCGAGGGAGTTAAAGAAAAATAAAAAGGATGAAGTTCTCGGCGTTGATCAATCCCTAAAGGATGTGTCGTGCATTCGACCTCATTAAGCATCGTTGGAGGTGACTGAATGCATATCTGGTCACTACAATAACCCATGATGGCCTGCCGATGTACGAGTTAGTGCTGCTATCCTTTCAGACACGTCTGGTACCCAATTGTCGACCCCGGAGGGATGGAGGGCTTGGTGAGTTTGGGGCGCGTGATCGATCCCATGTGTATTGCCGGGTCCCTCTGACCACTGCGTTCTACGCGCTCGTTCAAGAGTATAAAAATGCGCGGAAATACCGAAATGCACCCAAATTGGAAAGTGTCTGTCAAATGGCCGAAAGAGCAATGATTGAGAGGTGGGCTAGACTTTTTCACACAGTGGTTGGGAATCTTCTAGAAACCTGATCGGACGCATCGAAGAGACTTTTGTTAGCGAAGACGGCAATGAAATATCTCCTATGACAACAACGGAGCCGATGGGGATAGTGCTATGCTCTAAAGGCAGCACATATGCGATAACATGGCTAATTCCGTTTGGTGGCTGTTCCACGGTGTAAGCAACAGAGAATGTTGGTAACGATCAAGCTGCTCGACATCTCAATTTCTGATTGTCCCTCGCCCTCAGCGAGAAAGCGATTAGGGAGAAACCCACGAAAAACGCTTAGAACCTACCGATCCTGTCACATGCAAACATTACCACACCATACTGAGCCTTTTTCTGATCCAGATTCGGTCTGGGAACCAGAAACACGTGTGTTGAAGGACGTCGCGAATGTAGTGCGCTCTCTGTGACTGCACACTAGACATGGAATCTTACGACGTAATGGAGTGTGATAGTTATGACGTCGATGAGGGCCCGTGTTTAACGTCTTTCTGCATCGTCCCCTTTTGTGTTTGTGTTGATACTGTTGTTTTGAGAAAAAAACACATTCAAACTGCTCTTTTTCAATGGCCTTGGATTCAATCGATGACCATATTCTTCACATTTGCAATGAATTGGAGTGGTTCATTGTGGTGTAGTGTTTTAGACGTCATTGGTATCTATAGCCATTTTCAGTTCCTTTCCCCAACCACAGCTCACGTCACTCGAGCAGCGCTCCCTTGACGACTGCGTTCGGTTTTTAATAAGGGTCACATTTGTTCATCCATTCGTAGTCCTGCTATTTCTCATCAATTCAGTTCTATAACATCTCGTGGGTGGTTAGGATTCCTCTCTGCATACAAATGCTTTTCTTTTAATGTTCTTTATGCTAATGATATCTAGTACAGTGCCATCGTTCAAGTTTAGTTTTTTGTGACTGATTGCACCAGAACTTGAGGAAAGCATTCCTTCCTGGCAGTTTTCACCAAACATTTTCGAACGCTCCCAAACAGCATCTCATCTGGCGAATTCATTTAAGGTGCTGTGTTTTCATGACGCGATTTTTGTTCGTCGAATACGGTCATACAAAAGCTCGTCTTAGTTTTCGTAAGCACAGCCCCAGAGGAGATTTTGGATGTGGGACCGTGAGCAATGGTGCTGTGGAACTGCGCCAGATGTTTGTCGTAGCCATCGAGAAACTTCCAGAATGTACGCCTTTCTAGGATATCGATAGTGTGAGTTGTGATTATCAGACATTCCCTTCAGTTTTAACATCAACATGATTTGACTTTTCAGCTGCTGTTTCTAATCTTTTACGTTCCGTTCATACACATCTTGATTCTTCGTTAAGGTGGTTTCCGGCATTCTGCCATCGCCTCTGCATGAGATGAGGAGGATGTCGTTCTTCAGCTTTTGATGTAAGTAATTTTGTTTTCTTATTCGCATCTTCATGTATTTGGAAGGCGCAGTAGAAATCCTTCCAGACTTTCCATTACTGCCTCCTTAAAATTTTGTGTGGAATGAGCCAGGTACATTCTTTCTGTCGTCATATCGCAAACCACTTTGGGATGCGCAAGCATATGGCCACTCAAGATCAGCTCCGTTCATCCATGTTGTCAGGCAGTATTTCTCAGCCATGGTTAAGACCACCACTTCGTGCAAAGCCAAAGTTTGTTGGATTTGGAATCTTATGGTGGAGATGCCTGTGAATTTAATGCCTACTTGTTGTACACTCATTATATTTCAGACTATGTAACAGGGGATAATATTGCTGAGTGATTTTCTTCGTTATAGGATTCTCCGGTTTCCTGAACGAATGGAGAAAAAAAAAAAAACGAAATGCTCTGAATGCCAATGCTCGAAAATGAAACATGTGGACAGTCTTCTACTAGACGTGAATTGAGTAACAGACACACTTGCTGGGATGGAAGATTGGGTTCAATGGAAATAAGCAGAAGGCGCTTACAAAGGCGACTAGTTAAGTCCGCGTTAGTTCTGTCCTATGCTTTTTTCTGTTTTCACAAGACATTTCAAGCAGTACTTTATATGGACAAGTTTTACAAGCTTTTATAAAATTTCTCGCTGAATGTGTTAATTTTGTAAATGAGAAGCCTCTCACTATTCTATCGAAGGCGAAGATAGTTGTGATCGAGTGTTACTTGGTTCTCTGTTTCCATCCTTTTTACCAGTGGAGCTTTCAATTCATCTAAATTGTAAAAACGTCCACAAAGAATTGTTTGGTACAGAGGGAATAATTTTAGCTTATTATTTACTGCCTACTCTTTTCAATGGCATAGTGTTCTGCGAAACATCACTTCAATGATGCTGAGATACTTGCAAAACTCCGCGGGCTGCAGGTACCTGCGGTGGGAAACGAACGCGCTATTTCCGCTGCAGGGGACTTTCAGCGTTCACCACCGCACCATTTGGTTTCTTCATTTTGCCTCTCTCTCAGCTAGTTCTGTCATTGAAGAGAGGCAATAGTTGACAAACTCTTTGACCGTGACTAATTTATGGTATTTGAATCACGAAACTGCGAGGTTTTCTTACCGTACTTAATGCGTATCGAATTTATTGAAATGATTCGCGCGTTAAGATTATTTGCACTCGATTCAGTAAACACTCTTGCTTTGGTTATTTCAATAATAGCATCGAGTGAATGTGGATTGTGTGTAGGAAGTACAGATCCTTTTGAAAAGATGCGTGAGTTGAAAGTGTAGATTTTGTTCATATCGATAAGTCCTGTAATCTTCAATGTTTCTGAGGGCACATCAAAGCACATTTAAGGAACTCATGTTATTACTTCGCCGTGTAAGTGCATATTTGCAAGCATTAGTCTCATCTCACCACCAAAAGGGAACTATTCGTCGCTTTAAGACAAGAGAAAATGCTTCGGAATCAAAGTGCACAATTCATCGTGTTCTCTTAGGCAAAGATCAATTTCTTCTTATAGTTCTAGTAGAAAAGTGTATTCAAATCACACAACATTTTTGAAAAAAGTCTTCATAGCTTGGAAATGTGTGGTGCCATTGAGAAGTGTTGTTAACCGAAGAGTGGGGTCTGACCAAAAAACTCATTACGGCAATGTTCTGTTTAGTTAGCGCTGTTTTAATGTTCGACTTATTGAACGTTTAGTGGAAAAAAGTGGGTATCATAGTAGTGGACATTTCCTTTCTTTTACATGGCCTAATTTTTGTTTGGGTTGAAAGATAGATTGCAGTTTATCGCACTGAGACTTCTATCACTGAAGGCTTGTGTCCATACAGCGCTGAAATTGCCGCCTTCTTAGTGTGATTCCTGAAGTATCAAAGGCTAAAATATTAATGGTTGGTAATGAGTATTTTTATACATAACCTACCCAGAGGGATGGAAGGCTTGGTGAGCCAAGGGCATGGAGATCGATCGCATGTGCGTGTCGCAGGGCGCCGCCGACCACTGCGCCACACGCTCCCTTTATAAATATATACGTTGATGATTTTTTTTTCCCCTAGTTGTATGTGCGTAAAGGTTGTTGTGGAAAAAAAGTTTTGTCTTTCGCTACGTTTATAACAGAACTGTGAAAGAGTTTGAGGGTGTGACTCTTATTTTAAGAACGAAAACAACTTATTCGAGGAACTCGATTGGTGCACCGAAGCATGTTATGTCTTTCCAGGGACGCGTTGAGTTTGGTGTCGACCGTGTTTAAAGGTTAGAGAAGGAATTCCATGGTTCTTGTGAAGAGGTTGTTCGTGAATTGATGAGATTACAACATGAGCTGGTTCAGTCGGTAAACATCTGCCGATGCTATTTCTCACATATTTCGAGTTTTGTTAACTTTGAGGTGCTAAATATGAACGATAAACTATGAAGAACTGTGAAAAACTTGAAAACGTGCGATACCAAATTCTCTGGGATAACCATATTGTCGAAGATATGGTGATTCAAATTGTATCAATTTTCCTTTGTTCGCTGCAGTTCTGGCTGATCTGAATATCTGTAGCCCTCCTTTGTCTCGTTTTTCAGTTAATGCTAATGAGAGAAAACTACTAGTGTCTAACTTCTGTTGCAGAGCAGATGCCTGGAAAGCACGGAAAACCTGACCTGGATAGAGTATTGATTGTGCGAGGAATAATGGAAATGGCAAAAAGCATCCATAAACAAAACGAGAAGATTAAGAAGGTGGGAGTGGCTTATAGTACTGTGTCGTTAATTATTTTCTGTATTTGGCGCTTGGTTTGTTCAAAATTCCTGTGCATTTAATGTCACATGTGTTGTAGCTGTTAGCTACCAACTACTTGTTTTTCAGGTGTTTTTGGATGCATTGGCAGTGCAGTGGGAGTTGAAATGGCTCACTCAGACACTTCTTCGCACACTCAGTGCAATTGAAGGGACCTTCTTCATGATAGAAGTATGTTTTTCCAACCGTATTATCCAAGCATCATTTTGTTTCTACGTTATGTCGAGCAATGTAGTTCGTAATTGGCTAGATCCGCTGTTAGCAAAATATATACTTTCACTATTATTTGAGAGCTTCGCTGTCTATATCGACTTTGTGTTTTAATGCCTTAAAAGAGCGAATGAAGGAGAGTATTAATAAAGTAAAGAGCGTTCCGAAGTTCGTGTTTTCATTTACTATTGACATTATGAAAGTCCATACAAGTTTTTGAAAGAGGATGAAGATCGGAATGGAGAATGGACGTACAAACTGTTTCAAAAGCTGGGTGGCGTAAGTCGAGGTAATCGAACGAAATGGGGCTCTCACACGACAAAATGATGAGTCTGTTAGCCTTGTTAGTTCTTTCTTTAATTTGAAATTTCGGTTTTCTAAGCTTTAATCTTGAGAGTTGGTGTACTTATTCTGGAAAGTGCTCAGCATGAAAAGGATTAAATCCCATTCTCGTCTATGTGCAGAATTACTCATTGCTCATGTGGACTTATGGGCTCGTGTAGGGCAGTGGCTGGAGGCGCCCTGCAGAACAAGTGGCTTCGATACTCCTCACCAAGCCCTCCATTCCTTCGTGGACGGTAAAGTGTTTCCATACTTGTCTCTGAGGATGGCAGTACTGGCTCGATACATCGGTAGGCCACCGCCCCTCATTATGAAGGCCAGGTGTGCATTCATTCACCTCTAACGATACATAATGAAGTCTAACGAATGCCACATTCCTCATCGATTAATGAAGGCCAAGAGCTTTATTCTTTTATCCCTTGTTATATTGTGTTATATTATCTTGTAGTATCCTATGAATTATTCTGTCGCATTGTTTTATGTTATGCGTACCATTAAAATGTTACTAATAATAGGTACTGTAGAATTCTTCCACGATAGTGGTAAAGACTAGTAGGTACCTGGCCGGAAACGCTAATACATCGAAAGTTGCCGCAGAGATTTCTTAAGAGTTCTTGTAAAGGGCTGTGTAATTCCCACTCTACAGTTAGATAAAAGCGTCCCATCGCTAAACATTTGCAGGATTTATTTGCTCAAAAACAATGAACTGTTCTTTTTTTCCTCAATTATTCTAGAGCTTTTTTAGTACTGCGTCGTTTTCTGTTAATGAGTTCTGTCTGAATTATTTATGGAGCGTCTTTAAGAATGTGTCGATGAAAAAGTTCAAAAGTTTAAATGTAATGCAATTCTTACTTCGTTTAGCGCAAAAGCCTCCTAATCGATGGTTTCGCGAAAGTAGTCAGTTGGGTGCTGTGTAGATAGGGTGGGGGTGCAGCGTAAGAACCCGACAGCCCGTGCTCCAAAGTAACTGTGTGCAAGCTCATGACTGTCGCCATGTCGGCATGATGTTTTAAGGTATTCCTGAAAGATGCGCGCAAGATGGTTCCGAAATCGTCACCGCAAACAGGCACCGTTTTTCATGGTTTGAGGGCAGTTTCGTTATAATTGTAATAGATAAACAGTTGATTTCGAAACAAAATTAATCGTGCACCATAGGTACCTATCACGTACTTATTAAAACATAAATTTGGATCTACTATTGACCTGGCGTCTAGGAACATTTCAACGTTCAAGGTAGAAACCATCATGAGCTGTGTATATGTGTCCACGTTCACGGATTGAATAACTTCGCTTATAAACTTTGTACTGATCTGGTTGCTAAAACACATAATACCAGCCCATCTGTCGAACACCTATCTCTTCCTGTGTCGCCTATGTAAGACCACTCCCAACAGCGGGTAGTTTGACTTTTTTTAACGTTACTGTCCTTCATACGAAGGTCTCGAATGTCATCATGCTGTCCACAAAGTTCCTATAAAACACGAAGGTTGCATAAACATGTATGACCTGCCGATTCAGCCACTTATGGTGTTATTAAACGAATACCTGAACTGCTCAATCTTCAGATGGTACGGAAAGTAGTTCATACAGAGAAGAGAGTTGGCAATGGAACAACGGCGGGCACAGAGCCTTGCCACTGCATTACGTATTAGGTGGAACCCAGTAGTAAAACGCCGGTCATTACATTACTGTAGATATATAGATGATTGTTGGTTCGGCATCTGATCCACAGGTGATAGAGGCAAATATTTTGAGTTGTTTGACGAACAAGCAGGCTTTCATCCATACATGTTCAAATCAGCCCACACCAAAATCACATCCACTGTTCCTCAGGCCACTTAGAAAACTCGAAATATGTAAATATTGCTGAATGCACTGGTAGACAGAAAACTAGCTGAGAGAAGTGTGAAACGAAGAGCGCCCATGGCGTAGTGCTGAATGCGTTAGACGACGGAAAGGGTAATAGTGTGTTTGATCCCCACCACAGATGCAAATATCTCAGCGTCATTGTGGTTGATTTTGCATAATAGTTTGCCTTGAAAATTGTAGTAGGCAGTAGACAGAAAAGTTAACTTTATGGAAACACTTTTCATCTCATTCCAAGAAACTTTGCCTGCCGCAAACGGTCTTTGTTATGCAAATTTCTTTTTCTTCGCAATTGATGTAGAAGAAATACCACGCCTCTAAACGATAATACAAGTAGGAATAAGGTCCCGTTTATCTTTCCCTTCATTTCCAACGAAGCAAGCATGGCTATAACAACTTGGTTAAAATGACCCGGAATAGAGAAATCGGTAGCATTGACTAAAGTCGGTGGAACGCTTTATGATATCAAGTTCGTAACCGTTTATAAGACCGTCTGTGCACAACACAAACCTGTATAATTTACGTGGACAGTAGAGGCGGCGAATGTATAAGGTGCAGTTTAGTCTATTTCTTGCAAAGCTGGTAAGGCAAATAATTTGGTAAAATGGGTAAACCACTGTGCAATACGTATACAAAAAGCCTAATTTGTTTGCTTAAAGTCAAAGGAAACACATCATTAGACACGTGTGGGAGTCTAGAAAACGACGAGTACGTGCAGGAGCTGCTTTGTTTCCAATGCGATTAAAATCTGTGTGAAAACGCGCTCTTGACCTTTCCGGGAGTAACGCGTTCACCACCACACTATGCGGGTCCATAGTTTCGCCTGTATCTCAGCTAGTTTTACCGATCTTTTGCCATCAGCAATCACCCATCAGATAGAACTGAGGACAGACGAAACGAAGGACCCGCATGGTGTGATGGTGAATGCGTTACTCCCCAGAAAGGACAATAGCGCGTTTGCTCCCACCGCAGACACATGCGGTCCGGAGTTTTGCAAATATTTCAGCATTATAGTAGTTATAGTTCGCAAAAATACCCTGCCGTTAAAAATAATAGGGAGTAAATAAAAAGGATAAAATCTGTGTACTGTGGCTTTCCTCTTGATGTCACTGAGGTATTTGGCTGACTAGATTTCACTAAACATGACCTTTTCAGGGTCACAGTGGAAGAGTCGGTGAATTCAGGACCCGTTCAATGACACCGTTCTGAACCTCCGGAAGTTTACGAAACAGACCATGGCGATGCTTGTCATGAAATAAATCGAGGAGCGCAGAAAAGTGAAATACGGTAAAAAGACGTGGAATGCGAGGAAAGATGCTTTCATGCAGTCACGTATCCTCCTTGTTTATAAAACACCAATACACAAAAATTCTAATAAGTATTAGAATTTTGACTGCATTTTCTGTAACTGAATACAGAGTTCTTTGATAGCAGAAAACGTTCTAAGCACTTACGCAATAAGGAACGAAATCACAGGACTGCTGATAACAAACACTAATTGCTCCTGTTCTAACAAAATTCCAGAAAATAGAACCTTGAGTATGATGTCAACTGCCACACCTTAGACTTGCTACGTTATTTCAATACAGCGAAAATCAAGGTCTATGGTGCTCATTGTCGACAACGGTATTGAGCAAAGGAATTCCCTTCTTTTAAAGGAAATAGGCCCATTTGTCATTTTAAGTGCAAAACTGTCTGCAGAAACTAAAGTCCCCAAATTTTCGGTCAGATATCTGAAGGGATTCACGGAAGCAGTGGTTATGACAATTACAGTTGAAAGTTGTAGAGAGCACAGCAGAGTTAAAGCTCCAAGATGTGCAAATATTCGAAGAAGGAGGCGCTACAACTCAGTGGAAGAACTAATTTTTAAAATACGATATAGTTAGTGATAGTTGGTAAGCGGTAAATACAAGCTTTGGAAGTAACACCCTGGCGGTTTCTTAAAAAACGTTTTAATCATAAAAACTGTTCTATTACTGGTGACAAATTTGTTAATGAAATTGCAGTTGTGCCCTGCTTAACACATTCGCTATGATGTCTGAAGTTTCCCTCATACTCTAAATATTCCTTACTTGTTTCGTGTTCTTCCAAATTAGCACGTTGTGAAAGTAAAGCCGAAAATCTCGTTCGCCAGCAATGGGGAGCAGTCAGAGTTCGTAACATAACATGGCTTCAGAAGCCATATGAAGCAGCTTCTGATATTTTTAATTTCCATTCATTCCGTACAATTGTAATGGTAAACTACTAATTGTACTGCAAACTTTTTTGAATTTTATTTTCTTTTCACCAAATTCAGTGTCCTTGTCTATGTGAAGGCAGTCGTGGAAGGAACTATATGGACAATTTTTATCACATTTCAGGCAAACAAATGCCAAATCCTCCTAACAACTGCGATATACAGTGGGGTGATTCATCCTCTGGCAAGGTCTTCCAAAAGCTGAGAAGGAGTCCGGCGTTTCCATCGGGAAGCTTAGCTAAGAGTAAACCAATACAAGGATCCACCACCGTCCTGGTATCAAAATCGCATGGTGGCAAATCTCCCCTTGATCCACAAGGGGTGAAACTGCCTGTGGTGAGGAAGATCTGGGGCAGACTTTGGACAAGGTGACCTCGGGATTCCAGGGAACAACGATGGCTTAACTGGCAAATCTGTGAAAAGTGAGGAAGGGCCATTCAAGTGTCAGGCAAGCAAGAATGTTAAAGACGAGGAATTTCATGATTTAAAATGCAGTTTATTCAGTGAATAGAGTCTTCTTTTTGAGAGAAAATTCAATAGGAAGCTGCGTTTGCTTCGCTAAAAGATGTATTTCATTCACTGAACTGCGGCCGTGTTATTGTTGTTGCCGAGACGAGTCACCTGGCGATTAATCCGGAAATCCTTATTGATTGTTAATGCGAATAAAGGACGCTTTTCATTGCACCTCCTTGGTTTGATTTGTCGAGTAAAACTTATACCGGCCGCTTAACCAACAGCGAGTGTGAAATGAAAGCACACGAATTCGGAGATTGTTGCCGTAGTCACTCAACTTGCGGCATTACATACTCTTTGAGGAGTAGATAGAAGGGTAAGCACTACTGTGTCACGCAGAGGGCACAAAGGATAAAGAATAAATCGTTCGACGCTCATCAGCCTTTGTGGGATGCTCATGCTTTCGACATCAGCAAGCATCGTTAGAGGTGATCTAATTATATTGATCATTCAAACCAAGCTTAAATGAAAGTCGTTTTGCAATACTACTGCTAGAGACATACGTATTGGTCGTTCTTAGGAAAAACTATGGTGAATGCAGTGGGAATAATGGAGCTGGATACATGGCCAGCGGAAATTCGGCGAAGAAGAACACGACGACATTAACGGCGTTCCCGATGACGACGAGACAGTGGGAGTAAAAGCTATTTCCTCAATATATAAATTAATCGTCGCCCTAAAAATAAGATAGATCCCAAGTTTACACGCGAGATCCCAAGTTTACACGCGTAACTCTGTTGAGGTGCAATTAAAGGACATTTGAAGGCTAAAGAGATTAATACAGATGGCAAGTGCGAAAAAATCATCATGATGATGAGATATTGGCAAAGGTGGGAGCCCCATGCGAGCTTCGAACCTTTTCTGGAACTCTTATGTTATCTACTGCGCCACCGAAGCCCTTGCTTTGACCGTCTCTCGGCCAGTTTTTTTCATTAACCGTACGGTGCTGTCAGCAATCTCCCGTCAACGGAACGGTCTAGAAAGAACAAATTGGCATAGGTTAAGCACTGCGATAAAAACAATGTCCGTGCAACAAAGATCCCGGCTTTCCTTACGTTCGATTAGTTTCCTCACACCCGCCGTGGGCAAATGCCTTTGAACTTTTTTCGTATGGCCTGCTGCTTGGTGGTCTTCTTCGTTTTCGTTACAAATGTCGTTGTATGGTGGAGGAGTCGATTGTCACTCGAATATCGAGACAGCAGTGCTAATGAATCCCCACATGGAATATAGCGAGTCCGCTTGTTCCAGATAAGTCTGGCACCAAGTCTGCTACTTCAGAAGAATAAAATTTATGGTGGTCTTGGAGCAAAGTCGGAGGCTTGAACAAGGCTGTTGAATAGATTTGCTCGTCTGTGTAATAAACGGGATCACCATCACTGTATTACCTTCTTCCGTACCAATAATTGCTTACTCCAAAAAAATATCAATCCATACCTGCCTTTTTTGTCCCAGCCAATAATTAACTAAAGACCTGTAATCTTAGCTCTTATTCTCTCAGTTGTATTTTATAAGTGCTATCAGCAATCACCCGTCAGCGGGATTGATCTAGGAAGCACAAATAGGCATTGAGGACAGCGGGTGTTTGCTGATGGCACCTAACTGGAAGAAAGGCAAAACGATGGGCCCACTTGGTGTGATGGTGAACGCGTTAGCTCTCCGAAAGCATAATAACTAAATCGACACCCACTGCAGACGCATGAGGTTCGGAGTTTTGCAAATGCCTCAACATCATTGTAGTTATATTTCATATCGTATTCTGCAATGAAAAAAGGATAGGCAATAATTAAAAAGTGATTGCACTATGAACACTTTTCCTAAACCCGTGATTTCTGCATTTCAAAATAAATTTTTCTGTAACAGCTTTTGGGCTGCTGAACGGGTAGCAGTTTTTTCAACTTATTACTTCACCATAAAATTTTCGTTCTCATGCACTCGGTAGTTGACTAGTGGATTGAAGTTGACGATGACATCCGTTAGCAATGTAAATCTGTATTAAAAAGCCGAATACAGCCGATTTGCAAACAGATCAATGAGCAGCGGTTTCAGGAATACAATGAAAATTAGTTATCGATCTTCTGAAGAGAACCATAACGTGGAATTAACTTTGCTATAGTTTGTAGCTTATGACAATCCAGCGTCACTTATGCCAGCTACACCGTATCAGTGGACAAGCGCGTTGTTAAAGAATCCTTTTCTTTGCCAGTCTGAACTAAGCTGATTTGACTTCTATTCAAGCTATTGCCTTAATAACACTGCAAAAAAATATTCTAAAGCCAAAGTGTACAAAATAGAAATCCTACCTATTTGTCATAAGTGGCCTGTTCCACGCAATGGTTAATGATGCCCTTCTATAATATATACACTCAGTCATTCCTTTGACACTACCACGCCAAAATCATTGTTTCTTTGGAGGTGGCAAAGCGAGTCCACACGTCTAAGAGAAAGATCTCTCCGATTTATCAGCGCTAGGGATTCAACGTGGTCAAATCTGGGAATTACTTATTAGATCTATAAAATGGTTTGAGGAGAAATTTCGCCTTACCATTTATGGCGAAGTTCAAACTGTGCTTCCATTATACGCTTTCGGAGGAACGGCAGGCGTTGTAATCGATTCCGGCGATGGAGTCATGAACACATTGTCTCCTCCTACGGGAGAAGAGGAATGAAAACTCAAGAATTTGTACGATGAATCGCCACCGTCCTAGTACCAAACTAATCGCACGGTGGCAAAGCTCCATTCAACCAAAAGGGCGGAAACGGCTTGGGTTGCTCACAAGTTGTATGCTTAGCTCAGGCTGACCTGGCTATCCTGAAAAACACACAGCCAAAATTAGAAAAGCTTCAGCCTCAATACCTCTACAATGAGCGCTACCGTCTACGGTGGCAGATGCTAAGAAAAGCGGTGAGAGGCGATCAAATCTCGATTTGCATGGAATCTCAGTCGAAACAGACAAAACGAGCGTCATGAAGACTACTTCTTCCTGTGCACCTACAATGCCAGAGCGGTCTCTTCAGACGCAGATTTTTAAGCCGTTGTTGAGGTCGCCGATAGCATAAAATTCTATGTGATTGCCCTGCAATAGACGAAAACCTGGAAATACGGCATAAACAGGTTAGATGATGACATTCTTACCATTCGTGAGGAAAATTTCCGTCAGTAAATGACGAAAGCATTGGATTTGACGCACATTTATCTATTGCCCATGTTGTCAATCCGACGGCTGGCCAACAATCGTCTCCACATTCCGCGTCAAAAGAAAGTCACTTTCGCCACCTGCTACACACCAACTTGTACGACAGATGAGAGCGAACAGGATGCGATGAACAGCTAGTTGGAGAAAGTAATTCGCAATGATAAGTCCTTCTATAAATTCGTTATTCGAGATATCAACGCCAGGTTAGGGACGGCAAACCTGGAAAACTATTTGATTAGTACCTTAACCTTTTTATTCACTGCCTGTTCTTTTTAACGGCAGGATATGTTGCGAAAAAAAATTTTCGAAAAGGATCCATCGTTTCGCCTATCTCCTAGCTAGTTCAATCGATCATTCGCTATCAGCACTCACCCGTCAACGGGTTTGATCTGGAAAGCCCAAATCTGGACTCACATGGTGTGGTGATGAACGCGTTACTCCCCGGAAAGGACAATAGCGCATTCGTTCCTCACCGCAGACACCTGCTGTCCGAAGTTTTGCAAAAATCTCAGCATTATAGAAGTTATGTTTGATTAGTATCTCCGAAACAGCTGATCGATTAGCAGTGCTTTCCATCCCAAGTTTTTCAAGTTTAACTCTGTATTGCAAGTACTTTGGCATATCAGGAGAGCGAAGACTTCTGGCAGCAAGACATTCCATTGAAATAAAGGAAAATTTTTCTGTCTGAAGGATTTGGTTGACCAACTGGAAGTGGGGCCTGTAGTTTTCTTCTTTGAAAAAGGACATGTGGAAAGCATGAAAAAACGATTGAACTACGAAATTTCTTAGAATCGAATAAGTAAGTAGTCTAATAATATGTGCAGATAGGATGATGTGCATGCACTATGCCAAACAGGGAAACCGGTCACGTCTTTATCCAATGATGACGGATACCTTAAAATAAGGTCAGCACATTTCATCACCGCATCAATTTTTGATAAAGTGATTTGTCTGTTAATTACTAACAAAGTCAGTGACTCAGTGTGGATAAGAGAATTTTGGAGCTGACACACTTTCGCATGAGCGCGCACAGCTTTACCCATTCCGCCTCTTCTTCGAAAGCGCGACCAGAGCTGTGTGCGCTAGAAATAAAGTCACAGCACGACCATCTGCAGAAGTTCCACTCGCTCAAAGTCTTTCTAGAAAGGTCGCAGTCCTCTCCGTGGACGACATATGCAAATGAATTTACATTCGTTTCGATTCTGTTAAACATTATTGTGTAGTAGGCGAAATTTAAGACGGGGAGCAAGTTTTGTTCCGAGTGACTTATTTGACCTTCGACAAGGCCATGATTTCCTAGGCGCCACAGAATACTCCTTCGGATCCTTTTTGCTCAACTGGTTGCGCCTCATCCAACGACTTCGATATGTCCAGAAGCTAATCTTTGTGAAGAGTTTGCAGAGAACACTCAAGAAGAATAACGGAAGGGAATTGCGAAAATCCATTCAGTAACTCTTCATGTGCATGGTGACCGCGCGCGGGGTCCTCTACCGCTCTGTGAATTTCTCCTTCAGAAATTAAGATATAATTTGGGTTGCAAGAATTAAATTTAATTTGTGGGCGCCTGTACCACCTGTATCATCTGTAGTTTTGTTGATAGTCGAGTGGCTCGAGCGGGCGCCAGTAAATCTTCCATGAAGGATTTCGCTCCTCGAGGGATCACGAGTTGTATACAAATATTGTCGCGACCGACACTATTCATGTGAGAGGCAACCAGCTTCTCATCTTTAGTGCTATATAATAAAATTTCATTTAGAGAGAACATTAGTTGCCTCCAATAAAGTGTAATGACCGGTATTACTGAAGTGATGCTTGCGCAACTTATGTTGCTATAGGATGAACCGTGTTTGCACAACCTGCGATGACGTAGGGTAAAAGTTTCATCATACGCAATAAACCGTGACGGAGTACAGAATGGTAGGCACCAGAAAGTTTGATCCAGATGACGTAAAGGATTAAGGAATAAAATACCTTCCGTTGATTAGTCTCTAAGGTACCGGACACGTATTTGATCCTATAAGTTATACTGAGGAGATTGTTTGCATATTTGGTCAACGAAATGATTTGAATTGCCCACCGGTATATCACATCAGTGTTTTCGTCCAACCAGTCTGGTCTGGAAGCTATTTGACGACGCCGTATAGAAGTAGGGTATCGAGCAACGACAACATTCGTGTTGAAGATCACCTTTAACCACAGCGCTACATGTGCCTTCCACAGCCGCATAATACTATGAAGTGGAGAATAATCTCAGTAAAAGGCTGACGTATTTTATTTACTTGCCTCTTCTTACTCTGAATGAGGTGCGTATGGGTAAGAATTGCTTAGTTAACATTCCGAAACTGGAAACGATCGCTTTATCTACTGCCGATGAACGAATAGTAGGCACCATTTCTTCTGAATATGACCCGAATTAGTTCAACTAAATTTTTTTCGGGTTAAGGACCTCTGCGCGCCCAAGCAGAATTTCAAAATTAGCAGTGCCAACCATGGCTGACATGACGTACAGAAATATTTCTCAGTTGTACATCGTGAAAGATAACTGCATTCACTTTTAATGACGTCATTCTTATAACGCCAAACATTAACCAAGCGAAATGAATTTTGGCCAACTTTGATAAATCCTGTGGAGAAATTGGTTTTTGACTAAATCTCACAAAAGAGATGTTGGTTGATTATGTATGACCCATTCACTCTCAGCGGAACGAAAATCTCCAAAAGCTCCAGTTACATCTATCTTGGTCGGGAAATCAACACGATGAGCGACTTTGCTCCAGAGTTTGAGCAAGAGGAAATGAGCGGCTTGAGGAGCTTTCAAGAGCATCGAGGATGTAGTGAGAAAGACAAGAAACATCTGACCCGGTACCCACCTTTTCAACTGGACGATACTTTCTGCATTAGCGTATCCGTCAAAAGCGTGGTCGCTGCATAAGCAGAATGGAAGATCAGCCGCCGTTATTGAACGCGCAGTCGAAAGGACGATGCTAAGTGTATCCCGTACCGCACAAGCATGGGAAAAGATCGCATGTTTCTACCTACGTCAACGATGAAAAAACGAAGATGCTGTTCTATACGCCATATAGTCAAAGATAAGGTGGGCCTGCGCGTAATGCGTATGAGCGACAACGGATGGACAATATTTGTTAGTTACTGTATTTCCTGGGATCTCAAACGTACCGCAGGAAGACCACCGACTCGATGGTCAGAGTTCTTCACGAAAAGCCTAGAAGAAAGGCATAATGCTCAACGAATCCCTAGGGCGAGCAGAACCGACTGGGCTACATTCGCAAGCGTTAGGGAAAAATAAAAAATTTACTGGCACGCGCCGGAGTTTCTCGACGATAAACGGGACAACGCTTAATATAGGTGACAATTATTTCTAAAACTGAAAATGAGTTACAAACGTGTGGCACCTATGACGTGCTTATTAAAACATAAATTTGGATCTACTATTGACCTGGCGTCTAGGAACATTTCAACGTTCAAGGTAGAAACCATCATGAGCTGTGTACATGTGTCCACGTTCACGGATTGAATAACTTCGCTTATAAACTTTGTACTGATCTGGTTGCTAAAACACATAATACCAGCCCATCTGTCGAACACCTATCTCTTCCTGTGTCGCCTTTGTAAGACCAATTGGTGTCGAGATATTTGCAAGACTCCGGCCGCAGGTGTCTGCGGTGGGATTCGAACACGCTACTACCCTTTCCATTGGTTAACGCGTTTATCACCACGCCACGCCGGTCCTCCATTTCACTCTTTTCCCAGTTAGATTTCTATCTAGCAGTGCCACCCATAACCACCTGTGAACAGGATTAATTGTGGAGTACAAACCAGCTTTAAACCCAGTTAACCGTGGTGGTAAACGTGTTAGTTCCTGGAAAGTGTAACAGTGTGTTTGTTCCCTGCTGCAGATATCTGCCGTTTGGAGCTTTGGAAATATTTCAGTATCATTGTGGCTGTATTTCACATAATACCCTATCGTGAAAAATGCAATAGACACTAAATAAAACTTTAACATTACACGGTTTGTTTGACCTTCATTCACTGTCTATTTCTTTTTTTTTCACGGCTGGTCAATAAGTGATATACAATCACAATGATAGTTACAAATTTGCAAAACTGCGAGCCGCAGGTGTTCGCGGTGGAGAACGAATGCGCTATTATCCTTCCCGGTGGCTAACGCGTACACCACCACACCGTGCGCGTCCTTCGTTTCGCCTGTCTCAGCGAGTTCTGCTGTTCAGTGCCATCAGCAATCACCCGTCACCGGATTCATCTAGCCAGAACAAATCAGCATTGAACCCAATTAAGCTGAGGCTGTAGTTGAAGCTACAATGATGGATTAAATTTAAAACAAAGTAGCACCTTCGAAAATTTTTAAAAGAAAGAGCGAAATTTTTTGGGAATGTATGCATCTCCGCCGAAAAGATTCAAGTCTCTTAATTCAACCGCGATGAGCCTCTGGT